CTGTACACCTGTGTCCCGCCACCCCCGTGTGTGGGTGTCCTGGTACCCCTGGCACATCCCTATCCTGGTACCCCTGGCACATCAGTATCCCGGTCCCTTGGTACGTGCCTGGTTTGGCAGTGCCCTGGCTGCGGGCAGAGCAAGCAGGGCCAAGGGGGGTGGGGGGCAGTCCAGGGCTGGGGGTGCTGGCCGGACTGGGGGTGGGGAGCCGGGAAGGATGCCTGTAGGGAAGACTGGCCTCCAGGTGGGAGTCGAAAATAGTGCTTTAGGACGTAAAGGGCAGGAGACAAGGCAAGAAACCCACAGGCAGATGGTGTAATGTAGTGCCTTAAGTCTTTTTGTTATATTGCGTGTGCTGTTCTGTTCATTCCCGGTCGTGGCTTTGCTTATCAGCTAGGCAGCAGCTTAATGTAGTTCTTATCCAACACTACTGAACTAGCCTTTCTTGGCCCCAGACAATACAGGTTGCCCAGAGCGGGAGCTGTGTCAGTGCAAGGGACACTGCAAAATGAGTCCTGTCTTCGAGTGGCTGCAGCTGAACTGTTTTATGAACAGACAGTCCTGGACTCGGCAGCAGCAGCGTTCACGCTACGGGAAATCCTTCAGATCCAGTGGAAGGCTTAACTTCTTTGTCAGGGGCAGGTGGAAGAAAGATAGAGAAGGAGAGACAAGCACAGGCACTTTCCAACAAAACACATGATTGTTTCACCCCTGTCCTGAGGGATCTGTGTTCACGGGGCAGAGGGGAGTTCAGTTTCCATCTCATTCAGCCCTTGTCCTCTCTCAACTACAAACCAGCAGGAGCAAGTGACACCAGTTTTAAGGATGAATATATGCCAAGGGGCTGGAGAAGTTTTTAGGTATTGCACAGCTGCTCTTCCAGGAGTGCGTGCATCACAGATGCTGCTGTTCAAGGGGTGACGTGGAACAAAGAGTAATACCTATGCCATTGGCATTGCAATGTTTTGTCCTTGCCTTTCGTACCTGTCACACTGATGATGAGTTCAGTGATGGGAGCACTAGCAAAGAAAGAAAAAAATCGGATACACGCGATTAAATGTCACAGAACAACCCTGGGACAGCAGCCTTCATATACCTGGAAAAAATTGTCCTCCTTCTAAATCAAGAAAGGGTAGGTTCCTGAGCACAATCACGAATCCATTGTAAGAAAAAGAACTGCAGAGTACGCTGCAAGCATCCTTCCATTATTTCATCCCAAATGACAAGTTGATTTGCTCTTCAGCACAGGAAGCGGATCTTCTGGCCCGGCATGGAAAACGCAGAGCACAGTATGGATGAAATGGGGGCAGCGCTGACAGTCAAGCTTTGGCAAGGCAGGCAGGGCTGAAGCGGAGCGTGATTTGAACAAAAGGACTGGGACAGAAACAGGTTGCAGGAAAAGAGTAATTCAGTAGGTGGTGCTTACTGCCAGGCAGCGAGGGTTCAAGAGGCTACTTGAGCACTGCAGGTGCGTTTCTCTGCCAGGCTGCCGAGCGCTCAACGGCATGAAGTTATTGAAGACATTTTTTGATGAGGGAAAGGGGAGGGTACTTCCCAGAAGAAAAGATACTAGGTGCAAGCTAGGTGATCTTAAAGGTCCTCTCCAACCTAAACGATGCTATGATTCTATTCAAAGCTCCTGGCCAAGCCTTAGTTTGGGTTACTGCGTTGGGTCTTCCTCAGCACTACAGATTGTTGTCTTTCAGACACTGCTCTTGCCCAGCTGACTTGTACTGTGGTGTGACTTTGGTGCATCTTAAAACCATTGCTGCTTTCCATACAGCTGCACTGGTTGGTAAGATGCACCTTTCAAATTCACACAGGAGGTGAAATCTTTGAAATCTTGCATTCTTCTCTTGGCTTAGATTCAATGAAAAACCAAGCAAGACTTTAAGCAAAGCTCTGCCTATACATGACCAGAAAAAAGACCTCTATAATTGGCTTGAAGATATGAAAGTCATACACCGTCCACAAAAGGTACTATTCTCCAGAGTTATTGTATAGCCTTGATTTTCAGTCATCTCTTTCTCTTTGCAGCAGTGTGCTCATGGCGCTCTTCACAAGAACCAGCAGTCATCCTAACACCACCGACCCCACTCCCTGTGGGGCAGACAACACTACAGAACCTGACCTGCCACATTCACACGCCTACTACGCCCTCTGCTACTGCATCTTGATTTTGGCCATCATCTTTGGGAACGTGCTGGTCTGCTTAGCTGTGCTGAGGGAACGCAGCTTGCAAACCACAACAAACTACCTTGTGGTGAGCCTGGCGGTGGCGGACTTGCTGGTGGCTACTTTGGTGATGCCATGGGTGGTGTACCTGGAGGTGAGTACGTCTTAGGAAAGATTAGCAGAATTTAACGACAGTAGGAGTTCACCAGCTTTAGTGCACACTCAAGATAGGCCAGGTAAAGTCCATTCACATTTAAACCTCACAGCTAGCTCTGGGGCACTTGTGGGGTATGTGGCAGCCCACAATGTCACAGAGGTGGCCCTCGTAGGCTGGACACATGCTGGACAAACGCACCACCATCCGACCCGTCAGCAGATACCCTGAGCCTTGCTCTTCCTGGCACATCATGGCCTCTTTGATCTTGAATGGCACCTGGGCTACAGCCAGTAATGTAGATTGTGGGTTCTCATGTGCTACACCACTTTCATCTGAGCATCCCTGAAGCTGACTCCAACCACCAGAAGGGTTGCCAGTGGGCACCGTGATGATTCAGGAAGGGCGGGGGAGGCAATAGGGTGGATATATCTTGTAGGAACTCATCTTAGAGCCCAGATCAATCCCTGTTCCTGCTGGCCAGAAAACAAGTGAGGGCAGTCAAATCCTTGTCTCCTGCAGAGTTTAAGAGCCTTTATGTCTATGATGTTAGGTCAGCTCCAAGCTACATTCCCCGAGCAGGCTGACAAAGAGATGAAGGTGAAGAACATGCTCCAAAATCTCTTTTAAGTCATGTGAGCATTTTCACAGTAACTTCAAAGGATTCATCAAGCCCTCAGGGTCTTATTCTCCATTTCCCTGATCTTTGCACATTGGCTGGTGTAAAAATATGCTGGCATGACCGTGCACACAGTATGGACAACACCATCAGATATAGGGCAGCAGAGATGGAAACCAAATTCCTCCACACTGCGGCAAAATCCAAATTACTGAAGCCAGTCCTGGGGCAAACATTTTTACTAAACTAAATACATGAAGGTATGCTACAGCTGACATTTTTATCTGTTCTCTTTAGCATTTTTACGCTAATTCACAAAAATGGGTAGGTCTAGAAAAATTAGAGTGAACATCTATCAGCCGTAAGCTTTCAGCTGAGCCCTAGTCCCCTGTACTTATGCTAACAGAAAGAGAATAAGCCTCTGAGCCATGATCTCGCTGAAGCCTCATGCTCTTTCTGTAGGGGGCAAGCCGGGATCAGGCTGAAGGGGAGGGTAAATATTCTGTTGGCAGCCGCCCACCTTTGGCTGACCTCTTTCCCACAAAACAAAGCAGAAGCAGGGAGAGATTTTGACTTGTGCATATGGACTGCGCAGTGCGTGAGCAGAAAAGTAGGGCAAGACAGGACAACACCAGCAAATGCCAGACCCGCTATGTGGGTAGAAGGAGATTTGATCAAGTAGCAGGGGACTGGCGGTGGCCTACAGCCCTCCTCTGCCACCAGAGTATGGGGAACAAGCAACACAGTTCTAAGCTTTGGCACCCAGCCTAGGCATTTCCCTTGTGTTAACCCAAGCCATTCTCCCAATCTCTGCCCACTGCAGTCACAGCAAGGCTACAATTAAGAGAAATTAAGGGTTTGCTCTGCAGATACGCATTATTAATAAGGGCATTGCTGGTTAATTATTTATGTATAGCATCACCGTAGAGTGAAAGAACAAAGAGAGCTCCATGATACTTGCATGTGTGATCATGTTCCTAATGAAGTCAGTAGCAACATTTAGACTAATCTATGTGGAGCGGTCCTGGAGCTGGCCTGTAGGATGCCTACAGCTCAGTTGTGTTACGCTGAATGATTTAAAAGCAAGGAGTAAGGGCGACACACACCATCCCAGAAAGACAGGATTAGTCTCTGCAATTTGATTGCAACTAAAAACATTATTAAAAGTCAAATTTTATTTCAGACTCCTTATACAGGAATATTCTATCACCTCAAGCATATCCCAGTCTTTAATGACATCACAATATGCTTTGCATTAGAAAAGACTTACCACTTGCTGTCACTGTGGAGATGGTGGAACTGAGGTGCATCAATGCAGCAGTCTCTGCCCCCATGCAGTACTGTGGTCACAATTTGTGAGGACCACAGTAGATCCATTCCCTCCTTGTGTTTGTAGACCAATTCAAGATTCAGTTTCATCTCTGGAACCTGGAGAATCAAAGTAGCTGATCCAGGAGTCACCCAAACACCAGGGACAAGAACCCACACACATCCCAAACCCAACCTACCACTCCCAACATCTCACAGTATCTCCTAGAGAACTAGGCTGTAGGACTGCAATAAGATTAACATTTAAAAAACAACCCAAAAAGCTCCAGAGTCATTTAGATATTTGCTGCTGTTCATGGATCAACGATGCTACCAATGAAGCAGAAGTGGCATCATGCTTCAATACACAATGGGCCTGGAAATTGCCGAGAAATCATTCAGTCCCCAAAACTGTGTACAATACCTATTCATCTACCGGATGTTTGCCAAACCAGACATCTGAGACCTGGTCATTATTTATGGAGAAGCTAAAGGTGGATGAATACCTCAGATTTAAATGTCACTTACAAACTTGGTGCTTTGCACTCAATTTTTAGAGCCATCTGTGGCCTGGACCTTCTCCACGAAACTTGTCATTTTATTAGTCATGCAGACCGGAACTGTCTCTTTCTGAAAAGTCTTTTGGGAAGGCTGTGACAGAGCAACAATAGGAACATTTTATAACCTCAAAATCCTTATCTTCACTTAAAAGTTTCTGGCACAAAAATGCTATTCAGCACTGTGTCTAGCAATCTTCTGGGGTCAACGGGACGGTCTAATATACCAGTTCTGCTACCCCAGTTCCTTACTGACCTCTGATGCTGTGGCTAGCATGACTACTGAAGCTCACCAAGGTTCCTAAGACAGCGGCATTAGGGTATCCTGCCCACTGGAGTTTGATGGCATTAAATACCATCATGCCTTATAGTCATTGTATAAATGGAGGACGACATGTAGCAGCATGGCCTGGAGCTTCCTTCTCAGTCTTCTCACAACATCCAGTTCTACCTCCAAAGGGAAAAAAAACTTCAGAAGATGATTGTCACTGAGGTCCTGTCTGCTGCTCTGTTCAGAGTGTGTGACAGTAACGCTGTCTTCTCTTCTGTGGCTCTCACACAGGAGCAGCGAGACCTACCTGTCATCACCTGATGCAACTTGGTGTTCATACTTTCCCATCTGTGTATTCCTCAATACGTCATCATCATACATATCTGATTTACAGAGATTCTTTTATTTATTTTTAAGGACTCAGCAGAGTGATGGGTTTACATAGCTTTATGAATGCAAAATGATTTATTTATATTTTAAACTGGAAGACTTCCTATAGGACTGGAAAGTTAAAATTTATAATACCACAATTTTGTGGATAAAGCAGACTGGCCATCAAGAAAGATGAGGTGAGAACCTGACCTGAATAATCTATAGGGATCTTTAGCATTGTCTTTGACAGAGCCAGGATTTAATCCTGGACACTATTCCCACTTCTGCCGCACACGCACTGAGTGGTAATGAGAGATTGTATCAGCTCATCTGTCTCTGTGGTTTGCTCTCATCAGCTGTAGGAGAATAATATTTGACCATCCACCTCACCCAGGCAGTTGTGAGGATTCATTCAATTAATACCTGTGATGTGCTTTGAGATTCCTGGACAAAAGGCACCAGAGGGATAAAGAACAGGTACCCTGCCAGCACATGAAAACCAGAAATGCGCACTGGCAAGTTCTAGCTGCTGTAGCAAAGATGAGTGGAACAGAGCAATAAAAGGAAGAGCAGAAATAGACTTTTCAAAATTACGAACAAGGCCTATGATAAAAAGGCTCATCTTCATTGTTAAATTCTGGAATAAATTCTGGGTTTGCATACCTCACAGGTAAATATTAACTAATTCACTGACTTCAGCAGAGCTACTCCCCATTTTAGAAGTTGTGGCTGGTGGAAGTCAGGATGGGGTTTTAAGCCCAAACGTTTTGATCTGTCAAGCATCCTCCTAATACAAGCTACAGCTTACAATGCAGGCAGCGTGATCTGAATGCATCATCCTGAGAGGGTTCACTCCAGAGCTCTTCCCACCACCACCTTCTTTAGTTTTAATGGTTCACATTCTTTGGCTTAGCATTTGAAGCGTTCCAAGCTCAGGACCTTGGAAACTCCCTCAATTAAGTGCTTGCACATCTGCTGGGCTAGTGGCAGCTGCTTTCATACGAACACCTGGCACCAGCTCCTGGTGAAATAGTCTTCAGACTCCACAGACACTGCATTGCATTTTGCCTCAGACTACAGAAACACCCATTACCGGGTCCCACTGCAAAATCTTCCAGCATTTATAGGTTCTTTAATATTTTGAGGTGATCGAGCAGATCTCAAAATCTGCAACTAAAGCAAAAATGGTGTGGGGTTTCTTTGAAAACTGAACCTACCTATTAAGGTCTCTTTCAGAGGGACAGGCTTCAGTTTGCATGTCTTGTAGTTCACCTAATTGTGCAGAAAAGCTCTACGGGTTTGGTTTGGGGCTTTTTTTCCTTTGCTTGTTTTTTTTAAAAGAAAACAAAGGAACCCCACAAGTGTCAGAGAGCTGAGGATGAAAGCACAGTTCCCTACCACATTTTGCAAGCCAATTCCCATTTCTCTCTTCTGCATTCAGGGGGTCTAATGGAAGACTGCCTCGTTCAGTACCTGACTTCTGACATGTAGCAGCTGGGTCCAGCAGAGAACACCCTAAGGACACAGCTCACCTCAGCAAGTTTCTGTGCCCACGTGCGGGAATGCTGGCACGATCAAAATTATTTCAATTCCTCAGGATTATTCGTAAACAACTCTGAAAAGAACTTGCACGGAGTGAATTCTGTATTAATACAAGTGTTTCTCACTGCATGGAGCTGCATCCTTCCTAGGAATCGACACTTGCTGTGGGGTTGACCCACTGCCTTAGAAGCCAAGCTTACCTGTGCCACCCTCTCCAGCCTGATCTGGGATGGGTATTTTTGAGTGGGTCTTGAAAACCTCCAAGGATGGAACCCGCAAAGACTCACCAAGCAACTGGCTCCACTGCCTCACTGTCCTCATGGTCAGAAAGTTTACCTTCATAACCACTTTGCACCTTTCTTCTTTCAACTCATGCCTGTTGCTTCTTGTCCTCCCACCGTGCCCTGCTGTGAAAAAAAAATGGCTCCATCTTCTTAGCAACCTGTCTCCAACTTCTTAATAACCTCCCACTAGGCACTAGGGGATTGCTGTTAGCGCCTCACCCCTCACGCCCCCGCCACCTCTTCTCCAAGCTGAACAAGCCCTGTTCCCTTAGCTGCTCCTCACAGGACAAGTGCTCCAGCCCACAGGAACTGTCTTGGTGGCCCTCCTCTGGACTCGCTCCCATTGATCAATGTTTTTCCTGTAGTGGGGCCCCAAAACCAGATGCAATACTCCAGACATGGACTAAATGTAGGCAGGGAGACCAGGAACTAGTGCCAGTTTCTGATAGCTTCCCAGGATCCAGCTGACCCAGCAGGATCTATGGGGTTCAAGGCTAAAATTCAGTCTCTCTCCAAGCAAGGACTTCCCTCCCTCTTTCTCTCCTATCCTCCTTCTCCAACCAATGCAGCATTGGATTTGTTTACTGTATTCATCCGACGGGCTTATCTGTAGGAGGGCAGGGTGCCTCCTAGTTCATCTCCTACAAGGAGCGGGTGCTGAGGCAGACCACCTCGCTGGGAGTCAGGCTGTCATCCCAGCCCCGAGGACAGCAGTGCAACACGGTGCTCGGAGCATATTGTCATCAACTGAAAAGGTCATTGTCAAGAATTTGATGGCTGGGCCAAAAAATGTATTTCTCCATCAAAAAGACTGGCCACAGCTAAGCTTTCACAATTACACACTTCAGATTAAAAATTCAAAACAACCGGAACAAAAGCTCGACATGGTAGCAAACCAAAACCCTTTATCTAAATAGCTTGTGATTTCTCGCTCAGATCTAATGCTCAAAATCTGTAGCTGAGATAAGAATCCAGATAAGGTTTTAGAGAAGCCTCGGGTCTCAGGTCTCTTTTTTATGCATAAATGCATAGAATTTGCAGCACTTTTCCAGCTCACTGCCTGCAAGAGAACTCCAGCAGCTAAGCTGAGAAACACTTTCAACCATTATATTTTCTCAGATAATCCTTAATCAAAGGATATATACAGTGATATCAAATTTAAATCAATGTACCATGCGAGGCCTTAAGGGAAGAGATAGCTGCTATCTATTTCTTCACCCTGCCTCCCTCTCTAAGAGTAACTAAAGGATTGAAATCAAGGCCGGGCTACTTCTCCATGACCCACTGCTGTGTTATCTTGCACACAACATAGATGCCTCAGTTACCCTCTGCACATTGCAGTGGACGTGAACTCACCTAGCTGTTGAGATACTTGGAGGACAGTACCTCCTTATACCTAACTTGTCAGGACTTGGTGCAGAACCAGGCTGACAGTTTTGTGGTTGTTTTTGCAGGTGACCGGAGGAGTTTGGACTTTCAGCCGCATCTGTTGTGATATCTTCGTCACCATGGATGTAATGATGTGCACAGCCAGCATTTTAAACCTCTGTGCTATCAGCATTGACAGGTGAGAGCCAACAGCATCTAGGGGGATAGTCTGGAGATGAGGGTCGGCCCCATACCCCAGTGTGGCAGGGACAAGGAAGTGGGGTTTGCACAGGCAGCGTTGGTGTCTTCAGGAACACAAAACTCCCTGCAAGTCTATCACTGCCACTGCTGCTGTTAATACGGCTCTGCCCACCATGTGCTAGAAGATGTCTGCATGTAAGAGCAGAGAGGCACAAACAATAAAACATTACCAGTAGGTAGTCAACCACATCCTCATGCTTTCTGAAGCCAGGAACCAGAATTGGTCGCCTAATTTCCATTGAGTCTCAAAGAGGGTTTCTCCATCTGGAAACCTGACTCGTGAAGTTCTAATGAACAAAATCCTGCCATGTACATAGGGACGAGTGAAGACTATTGCTGTGTAATCTTCAACCCTGCCCTGTTCTTCTGCATCTTAAAACTGAGCCTGTTTTAAGCAATGCTGAGGGCTGGATGTGAAGACCTCAGAACATGTGGTGCTGTTAGGACCAAGGAGTGGGGGAAGGAAAAAGCACTGCATGGTACCTTTGTAATATGTGGTTCAAGGGTAGCAGTATGAAGCAGCTCTCAACACTGGGTTGGTCCAGTGTTCCTCCATAGGAATATTTATCCCCATTTCATTTTGGCTCCGTCTACAGGGAGCAGCCCCCGGGCTATCCTAAAGACGAGATTCCTGTGCCTTCCAAATCCTAGCCTTGCTGAGCTGCATCTCCTGGGGCATCCCGGCACCGAAGGCCCGGGACACCCACCTGTAGGCAATCCTCTGGCTGTCAGTGAGGCCGACACCAGAGTGGGCAGCTGAGGCACAGAGCATAGCAGGCTGTGGTTGCTCCAGAGACTGCTCTTTCCCAGCAGTCCACATGTAACCTTAGGGGCTTGAGGGATGGGGGTTTCCTGGGGTTTCGAGATCTATCTGGTATCCCAAACCTTGTAGCTTCACAATGCTGGCAGTGCTGCAGACCATTTCTCTGCGGTGCTGCCAACTAACTCTGATTTCCTCTGTTCCTCCCCCCCCAACACCCTGCTTACCATTTCTACAAATTGCTGATCCCATCATCTGATCTTCTCTCCTTTCCTCTTCCATTTCTTCACCATGTTCACCATCATGTTCCCTACATGGCTTTCATTTCTCCTTTTAAAACCTGGTCCTTTTCCTCCCTCCATTCTTACCTCTCCTCTTTCTGGAGCTGGTTTGGTCCGCAGATACACTGCAGTGGTGAAACCAGTTCAGTACCAGTACAGCACTGGGCAGAGCTCCTGCAGGAGGGTCTCTCTCATGATCGTGATAGTCTGGATGCTGGCGTTCGCAGTGTCGTGCCCTCTCCTCTTCGGCTTCAATACTACAGGTATGTGACCTCCCGAACAATAGCACACAGGGAGGGGGTGGAAATGGAGCTGTCCTGTGTATGGCCAGGTCATTTAACATGGGTCCTGCAGACTTTCCAAGTTAAAGGAAATTTTAGGGAACTGGAAAGCACACTATGAAGGGTGAGAAAAATCTCCAGTGCTGGAGAGCAGATGTGCTCTTGTCTATCAACTTTCCATTTGCTCAGGCAGACACTGGCTATTGCTCTGAGGACAGACCTGCCTGCTTTACTGCCAAATCAATGCCCATCAATGTGTCCAGGTCTACAGATCCCCCCAAACAAGCACTCTACGCGCACAGAGCAAATCTCCAGATGTGAAGCATGTCCAACACACACACACATCAGACTTACTGCGTCTTGCTGATATCAGCAGGTCCAGACACACAGTTTTAAATCTGATGTAGGACACATTTCTGAACAGCAAAGATGCGTATTGGCACTGCTTGTGAGAAACCTCCTTCCCATCCAACTGTCTCTCTGCTTCCTCACCTAATCCCTTGAGGAGAGCAAACAATTTAGCCTCCTCCTTGGAAACAGGTTGGCCTTTCTGCTTCCCCTCACCTAGGGCAGCCCATTCTCCCTGGAGGCAGAGGGGCAGGGGAGCCTTCCTCCCCGCTGAGCCACAGGCAGAAGTCGTCTGCTCCCCATCCATCCTCTGTGTTGTGCTTGATGCGAGAAGGGGACAGGGGGTGGGAAGTGCTGCTGTCCCCCACTGCCTGGTCCAGACAGATGGTGCTGAAAAGGCACACCTCTGCATCTAGACAGCTCAGAGGCTGTCAGAGGAATAGGAGAAAGGATCCTCTGAGAAAGGATGGGAATAGACATGAGAGAAGAGGGCAGACTTGCTGTCCAGAAAAGCAGGAAGATGCATGCTGGGTCATGCTAGATGGCCCTAGGTAGAGTCCATTTCAAGCGTCAGTTAGGTGAGTGGGTAGGCCACAGTATAATTTACAACAACAGAGGTAGGAGATACTTGCAATCCTTACGTTGCCTTTGTCCCCCAGCCACCTTTCCATTTGCTTTGCCAACACACCAACCTCCTTGTACTAATCTGAAGCAGCTCAGCCGCTCCTCTCTCTCTCTCTTTCTCTCTCTCCTCCCCAGGGGATCCCAGTGTCTGTTCCATATCCAACCCTAGTTTCATCATCTACTCCTCTTTGGTGTCCTTCTACCTCCCCTTCATGGTGACCCTGCTGCTCTATGTCCGGATTTACCTCGTGCTAAGACAAAGACAAAAGAAGCGAACCCTCACCCGGCAGGGCAGCCACAGCGCCAGCACCAAACCGTGTTATGCACACAAAGTAAGATCTATATGAACGCAGTAGGAGCTGTCAAAAAGGACAGGGCATGCATTATCTCTTCGCCTCAAAGGGTCAAAGCACAGAACGGAAAGCATAAAGAAGGGACATGGCATGTTTTCACCCCATCCCTCACTCATATGCCGTGATATTCAAGATGCAGAAGCTCCAATTAAATCTTTTTCAGCCCTCTAGAAAGAGGATACCCCTCGTGTATCTCTGCCCTCTAGAACCAGGCAACAAAAAAAGAGCACAGCCTACTTCAATATTTCTTCAGAGCAGGGCTTTCTCAGCCATGCAGAAGCCTGGCTAATTTCTTCATTTATTGATTTTAATGTCTTCATTTATTGATTTTTCCTCTATGAAGCTTCATTCTCCGGGCTTCACAGACCTTAACCTAGATTATTTTAAAAAAAAGCCCTCTTCATCTGACAGACTTAAGAGGTCAAAATGCTCATGGTGCATGGAGCATTTGTTCCACTGACCTTTCTAGATGAAATATCTGCAACCATGGGAACCAGCACAATGGTTTGAAAGGGATTGCCTGATCACGCATATCTGCTTGTTTTACCCATTTTTTCACAGTGAAGCTACATTTAAAAGGGTGGGGATGTTGAGGGGAGCAGGGCCAACACAAAAATGCAAGTGAAAGGTTAGCAAAGCAGATGTTTCAGCTCTTTTTGTTCTCATGCTCCCCTTTGGTGGCATGGAGGCAGAGAGTTGTCCGGTGCTGGTTCATCCCTCTGATAAGCCAAAGTCAGTCCAGAGGATATAGTGTGAACCTAAGAAGCAAGTGGGGCTAAGGGTGACTCCTACAACTTTCCTCATCATCCTTTGACCCAACGAATGGTTTGAATGGTTCCCAGCTCCTCTGTGGCATCCTCTTTTGCAGGAACACATGGAGAGAAAAGCTTTGCCAAACAGATGTGAAGGCACCTTTTCCCCCTGTCTCCCACTCAAATGCTCAGGCCAGGAGATATCTACCAAAAGGAAGTTGCTGACTGTCTTCAGCCTGCAGCGGTACTGCAGCTTCTGCCATGAGGCATCCCTCACCAAGACACCAGGGACTACACAACACAGCAGGTTGGAAGAGAGGAGAAAGAGTACAAAGCCGGGACTGGAGGTACGGAGTCTCAGTGATGGCAAAACCATCAGCTCTTTGAAGCTAGCGCACCAGCAGCCCCGGCTGATCCAGCTTCGGGAGAGGAAGGCTACACAGATGCTAGCTATTGTCCTGGGTGAGTGAGAGCCACTCTGTCTAGTGGGGTGCAAGGGGTGATGGTTTGGGACTTGCAAGAGCAAGGAACCTCTGAAAACAGTGTTGAGATTAAAAAAATGCAAACCCGTCCCGGACTTCAGCTGTCACTGCTCCACACACTCAGGAGAGACAATGGTGGGACATTTAGGGATCTAGGGTAATGGTCTCAGATGTTGAGAGCCAAGTATGGTAGTGTTTTATTTGCTATGTTTTGTTACACTTTTGTATTAAATCAGTGGCCAACAAGCCCTGTTAGAGGGAGCAACAGCCAACACCTTTTGCTTTCTTTTTTCCTGTATTTTTTATTATTATTATTATTATTATTATTATTATTATTATTATTATTATGCTGGAGCAATCCTAATTTCCCATACAACAGCAGCTAGGAGGTCAAATTACACAAGGGGAAACTGAGGCAAGGAGAAGCAGAGGAACCAGTTCATAGAGCTGGACAGAGAAGCCAGGAGACCGGTGCCCCCGTCACCTGCCACAGTCACCAGACGCACCGCTTTCCCTCATTAACTCAGTAATAGCAAGGAAATGATGCAGCCCTTGCTGTAACTGATTAAAGCAGCTAAGGCAGCAGTCTTTCCCTCTAAGTTGCGGCCACTTGCTTTTGTCTGCCACCAGGTCACTTCTGAAGCCCCATTCACATAACTGGTCCCAAGGAGCCTGAGCTCTTGCCAAGTCCATCTGCATGGGGAATAAACGTCACCTTCAGTGTTTACCAAATGCAGACATGTGCATGGAACTAGTGAGAGATTGGCAGGAGAGGGCAGAGGTGCAGGTCCCTTTCCAAGTAATTGCTTCTCTAAAGTCATGGATTGTTTTCTCCCTCTGTCTAAATCCAGGGGCATTCATAGTCTGCTGGCTGCCCTTCTTCTTGATTCACATCCTCAACACTCACTGCCCATCCTGCCACGTGCCCCCTGGGCTTTACAGTGCCAGCACCTGGCTTGGCTACGTCAACAGCGCCCTCAACCCCATCATCTACACAACCTTCAACACTGACTTCCGCAAAGCCTTCCTCAAGATCCTCTGCTGCTGACTGTGGGGCCGGCATGGGGCTGCACCGGCTGTGGTTTGCAGAGGCCTCCTGGGTTGGGGACAAAGTATGGGGGCCCTTCCCTCCCTCTGCTTTACACGCTGTGGGGAGTGCCGCTCCCCTCGTCTGTGAGCAGTGGTGGTCAGCGTGACGTGGTCATTGCCAGCAGCCAGGCACCGTCTGCATGACGGAAGAGCAGGAACGCGCCCCACCTGCACAGCTGGCTTCCCACACCGAGCCTCAACACTCCTGCTTAAGAGAGTACAAGTGGTCCTATGAGGAAAGTCTGAGAGACCTGGGTCTGTTCAACCTGGAGAAGAGAAGACTGAGAGTGGATCTCATCAATGCTTACAAATACCTAAAGGGCAGGTGTCAAGAGGATGGGACCAGACTCTTTTCAGTGGTGCCCAGCAACAGGAGAAGGGGCACCGGGCACAAACTGGAACACAGGAAATTCCGTCTCAACATGAGGAAAAACTTCTTTACTTTGAGGGTGCCAGAGCACTGGAAGAGGCTGCCCAGAGAGGTTGTGGAGTCTTCTCTGGAGATATTCAAAACTCAACTGGATGCATTCCTGTGCAACCTGCTCTAGGTGAACCTGCTTTGGCAGGGCGGGTGGACTAGATGATCTCTGAAGGTCCCTTCCAACCCTGACCATTCTGTGATTCTGTGGTTCTGTGATGATTCCCGCTTCTGGGAAGGGAGGGGAGGAAGACACAGAGGCAAACCAGTGAGTCCCTCAGTGTTGGGCACAGCAGCACTGAGAGGCAGAGGCGGGTGTGCAGTGGAAGATCAGCCTCCACTCCTGGAAGCTGCCAGGCTTGCAGAGCATACAGGACCCAAGCGGACAGCATCTCTCATCTTCCCCGCCTACGTGCTGGGAACGCATTTGTCCCCCCGATGCTGCAACTTCAGCCTGCAGAAGGTACCCAGCTCACACACAGCAGTCCTAATAAGAGGGCAGAACATGACCTCTCGGATAAGGACCCTGACCCCTTTGATCTGGAGCCAAGAGCAAAAATTTGACAAGGAGACTTAGAAAGGGAACACTGATGGAGAAACGACAACATCCCTGTTGTCTCCATCAAAAGGTTTGCCCATAAAACTGGGTCAGCCTCAGCATTTGAGAAAATTTCCCCAAATGCAAATGAAACCTTCCCCCATGCTGCCAGCCTGTATTTTATTGTTCCTTGCAAGGTAGAGAGGTGGAGACCATCCCTCTGGTAGGTCAGGTCACATGAGAAGTGCGTCACTATCACAGTGATGTCTTCCTAACTCAAGGATCAGTGATAGATTGTCCCCTACTTAACTACCACTCACCCAGTCATGTACTGGAGCGACTAAATAATAAACAAGGCCCAGGATAGCTCCAGTCATGCCTGCAATAGGTTCAAACCTGTTTTTTCAGCTGGAGCAGGTTGTATGTACCCTGTTTCAAAACTTGTTCATGGTCTCTTTGAAGCCAACCTCCATTTGTGCTCCTCTCCTCATCAGGAGTGCTGCTGGAATAAGGATTTGTCCAGTCTGACTGCTGTGATAACTCCTGTTACAGCCCACCCCTTGGGGAGAGCTGTTGCAGTAACATCCCTCCCAGTAAGAAAGGACATGCGCCTTGGGATCAGACCCAGGACTCTCACCATCAGCACACAGGGTGTCCACATGTCCCAGCTTCCAGGAGCTGGCCAAATACAGCCCTCCCACAGTGTCCTTTCCCAGCAGTATGTTACAAAGCCATCACCAGTAGTTCCTGGATGCAAACACCAGATAAGCCCTGCCGTACCGTCTAAGCAGGTCTCACGCTGGGGCAGTCTAATGCTTTGCTCCTTGTACAGACAAACCTGACCGGGGACAGTCTCAACAGGTTTCTCTCTTTTTTCCCCCTCGCTGTACAGGACCCGAGGCCCCAGCTCTCACTGCCCAGGCTGGGCTTAGCTGTGCTGATAGCTGCACTCATTCAACAGCTTTGGGCGTAACTGTGTTTGCTGTCTCTGCTCTCGCCCACGCCACAGCTCCTCCGTCCAGGAAGGGCTTCCTCTTTTTCCTAATATAAAGCCAAAACCATTATTCTCCACCTCTGGAGCCCATAGCAGAGCTCTGACTTCTTTTGTTTGTCTGGGTTTTGGGAGGAGATGCTCGTGGACAGCGCGTATTATGTGCTTGAGGAAGTGCCCTCCATACTGCATTGTAACTGCATTAATCCAATAAAACACAGATGTAATTGGAAGTTTTGGTACCTTTGTGGTGAACTTAGCCCTTCCATAAGCCTTTTCTCACCTGTAGCCCTCTTAACACTTTCCCTGCACAAAATGACCATCCACCCGGACACCTACAAGAGGTCTTTATTATTAACTTGCATTTTACTTGCAACTGGGAAAGAAATGAACAGCTGCTGTAAGCACTTCCAGCAGATGAATTCTGAAAATATGGTCATTTAGTTTCCCAGCTACGCCAGGCAGGTGTGCAGTAGTATTGCTGCATCTGCTCAAAGGTGCTTGACAGCACAGGAGGTACTTGGCACACAGGATATTGGGGTTATCAATCGATTGATCGACCTGCAGACAGATTGCTGCTCAAGTAATTCTCATTAAGATGCTTCATAACACAGATCACCAGAGACCAGTTTTCCAGAAAGACGGAAACAAGGAAAAATATCTTTTAAAGGGTGACTAGGTCCATTTCAAGCCCTGGTCTAGCATTTCTCAGGTGTCATGTTCAGTCTGATCTTACTTGAACACGAACCTGTTCTTCAAGCAGTGATGCATCCCCAAGGCGATTCAGGATAGAGGTGAGGAACAGGAGGTGTGGCAGAAGACCAAACAGTGTTTTGGTACCCATGCAGGTATGAGGGATGGGGAAAGTTCTACATCTGAAAACATGGTCCCTTATTTAACAATTAAGATTTGAACTATCAGATCACAAAACTGACAGCAACAGTTTGAACTATAACCTGCTATGGACAAAAATTAAAAAAAAAAAGCACCACAAACCCCACCCACAATTACAAAACCTCAACTCCAGAAGAAAACAATCTCTCTTTTCCCCTCCCTCAAGTACTGCTTGAGCTCCATGCCCAGTTTTACTGTGGCAATATGAACACAGGTCACCTCACAGGAAAGGCCAAGGAACAGAAGCAGTCAAAGGTGCAATCATTTAACATCCCCTGCCCTCCCTAGCAAGCCAGAGGGGCAGCTGAGGAGCCCCCCAGGACCTGTGCTTCGCAACACCCCCCTCGTTATTTGCAGTAGAATAATCCGTACTCCCTCATTTTTTAACTGAAATGCCTCCTCCTAACCTTCATTCTCTACAACATTTTCATCTTTGCTGTTTTTTTCCCCTGGCTCCACGACTGGCTGGAAGAGGAGAGATGAGCCGTGACTCTGTGCTGCGCTGAAGAACCACAGGCGTTGCACAGGGTTTCATTTACATGCTGATAGTCACATTAGAAGAGCCTTTGGAGAATGCAGAAAGCTTCTCTCCCGCAGAGAGAAAGAGGGAGCTCAGAGACCGCCGCAGGCTGTAAATAATTCCCGGTGTCTGGAGACCCGCTCTGACAGCGAGCTGGGTGGACGTGCAGTCTGGGCTCACCTTCACCTTGCTCCACCGGGCAGCCGGAACAGGATCCCTACGGTCCCCTGCGCTGGATGCCATTTGTAGACAAGCCAGCAGACCAAATAGCCAGGAAGCATCTCTACTGTAGCTGAAGAGAGTTAAGACCCTTTGGAGATGAAGGAGTGATGGCAAAACCCACCGGGAACAGCAGCCCCCCCCCTCCGCAAGGTACAAGGCAGCCATCCAAGTACTGCCTGTCTAGACGCAATTACAGCACGCCTGAGAAACGGACTGAAAAACACCGTTTATCCCCGTCCACCGCTGTTTCTCCAGGCAGACGTGTTGCCCCAGCTCCCAGAGCTGTAGCTCTGACTGAGCTGTGGGAGCCCAGACGAGCCGCCCGCTCGCCCCAGGTAGCCCCAGGGCTCGCTCAGCGGGCTGGCAGTGAGTTACTCTCTCCCAGGTTGGCAGGCACATGCAGCTCTCTCGCCGCACCGCACACCGACTCAGACAAAGCCATGGAGCCCCTGATCTCCTCCGCACCTGCCTGGGGCTCCCCAGAGCTGCCACATCCATGGGGTACATCTGTGGTAGGTGTGCCACATGTTGCCTGCATCAAGTTTCCCACTCCCGCATGTAATGCTGCTCTGTGGGGGCTCCTAAACAGCACAACCCTCCCAGTGCCCTCCCAGGGGGAACATGGGGGACCCTGAGAATGGTCACAGCTCTGAAGCGCTTTATTTTTTTTTGGAGCATAAAACGGATTATGACTCCATTGTTCAGAATAAGATTTTTTTTCAGAATAAATGGTCAGAGATGCTCACCTCCTGCTTGCCCCCCCAACTCTGGACTGGCTTTAAAGAACAGCCAGTCAGGCAGCAACCTACTCTCCATGGTGACTCTCAATGTGCAACGTCTCCTCAGGCTGCTCTGCGGTGGCCATGATGGTAGAGGGTATTTAAGGTGGGTACCTATCCTATGAAAACAAGACAAAACAAGACAACCTGCCCCAAACAGCTCTCAGTCGCTCACTCATACAAAGCATGGCCAGCAGAAGCAAGCAGAGAACATCTCCATAGCTCGCTGCCACCCCTTCACAGACCACCAAAAATTTCTATTTAGGTTGCTGTATGATGCTTATTGTGACTACTTCTGTGGCTTACTCAGGTGCAGGTGCAACAGGAGATGTCCATCATGGATCAGAGCCCCACGTGTGCCCCACGGTTCTCAGCTGCGTTCTCAAGGGCTACAACTTAAACTTCAGGTCTAGCAGCAAAATCACAGGTTACCCAAGTTACTAAAACCTTAAATGGTAGCGGGCATCAAACCGAAGCCATCCAGAGCTAAAATCAGCAGTTCTCATGTTGAGTTTTACATCATAAAATGTAAACAGAGAAGCCATGAAATACTCTCCCCTGTCGGAGGCAGCAGCAGGCATGACAGGCACCAGGTGA